GTGCGAAGGTGCTGCCATTTCTGGCATTTAAGGGCTTCTGTTTTAACTAACTCCTCCTACAGATTTTATCAGATTGACTTCAAATTCGATCACTGCTAACCCTAACCCTGCTTGCAGCTTTAATTTAAAGTACATTTCCTTTTTTTCACATAAAAAGCAGCAGGGTCCGCCTGCATTTATAGGTGATTTTTAAAGCAGTTTTAAAGCTAAAAATCTGTTGTTTTCTGTTATTTTACAGTATTTTTGGCATACCAGCTGTCGGAATACTGTTATTTTACAATTTACAGTGTGAGAGCTTTATAAGGCGTCATGGAAGTTGGGCTGAGGGAGGAGTGAATGGATCACTATCAGGTGATGATGGTATGACTAGAGGTGGGAGTGTCTTGAAAGTTGAACCGGGGCACTCTGATAACAATGCACTATGGGAATGTTAAATCCCTCCTGTTTGTTTTTCTGTCCCTGCCTGCTTATGAATCAAACAAAGCAATGAAAATCTGAAAAGTTCTTACTCGGTTCTTTTTTTCTTATTTCATTACTATCAAATTCTCTATCTCGCCTTTTCATTTCTGTTTTCAAAGTGAGATCACAGCAGGGAGCTGTAATATATTAATAAGCACCAGGTTCTGCCCTACCTACTGGGTCCTTTATCTTCACAGCAGAAACTTATTTGTTTTGGACTGGGGAGTCTTTCCTTCTTTGCAGTAAACAAAGGTGTTTGAAGTATCAAGGAAAGGCCTCTTGTGTGGTTTTTACACATCTAAGGCTTAAATGAGGCTTACATGAGGATTAAACTAACTGTCAATCATGCTCAAAGACACCTGCACACACTGCTAGGAATAGTCATTACTGGAAGGAAACCATGACTGTAGAATAATCCTTAGTACTGTAGATGGGCTGTGAACCCTGTTTGATTTGAGCACTTATGCAATTCCAAGAACCAGCTCTTTGAACATTAAAGTAGAAAAGTATTCATCCCCGAAATTAAACTCTAGCAGCATTGTGCATTTGACCTCATTGACCCCTGCGCATGTTATAATGCTAATGTAACATACACTGTAAAACTGAATGAGTTACTTCAACTCAAACTGTTTGAGGAAACCGATTGCCTTAAACAATTTAAGTATCAAAATATTTGATTGGAGTAGAAGTAACTCAAGTATTTATTGTTAACGTGACTTGGGTAAATTAAGTTAATTGTATGAGTTCCATTTAGTTAATTGAAGTTACACTCATATGCAGCATTTCCAAACTTATTTAAAATGTGT